ACAAAGAGAGCTGAGTGGACTGTCTTATTGATCTGGGCTTGTGGTCAACTAGAAGTTAGGTTCTATAATCTGGGACTATCTTATTCACATTTCTGGTATTGGTGTGCTGTTGGCCAGGGGAACAGCAGCAGCTGAGTCAGGTGTCTGTGATCATCCAGCAGGCCTTCCTGGGCTTCTTGGAAAAGGAAAAAAGAGATAAATATTCTAATACATGAAAGTCCTAAATGGGGACAAGGACCCTAGTGAAAGAACTCAAAATATCAAGAAGGTGACCTGGGCGGGGTGTAGTGGCATACACCTGTAATCTCAGGGACTTGGGAGGCTGAGGCAGGAGGAACATGAGTTCAAAACCAGCCTCAGCAATTTAGCAAGACTCTGAGTAACTTAGCAAGACCCTATCTCAAAATAAAAAACACACAAAGGGCTGATGATGTGGCTCAGTGGCTAAGCACCCCAATATCAAAAACAACCCGAGAAGGTGACCTGGTCCTGGTCCAGGGAGACAAGATGAGCTTGTTGGGAATCCACTGGTCATGAGGAACCTTAGGTCACTGAATGATATCAATTCTGCTTCTAATAATGACTAAGCAAGATCCTACTGGACTCACTCTCACACAGAAAACCACCATAAAATCTAGATGTGATTTTTTAGAAAAGCTCCCTGAATGCATCGGACAGTAAGGGGAGGGCACATTCTGGAGGAAGGAAGCCGTGAAGTGCATTCTCATTTTTTGCAAGGATCACATGCAGTCAGAGGAGGAGCAGTATGACGGGAGTACTGGTAGGGGGAAAAAAGTCTTTCTGGCCTGGGAAACCAAAACAGTGAAGTCCAGGAAACTACAGACTGACCAAGGAGATGAAAAAGTGAGAATGGGATCCCAAAAGGAAAAGAGAAAAAAAAAATGATGATACTCAAGTCACATATGCATGGAACAATCCAAAGCACTTCAATAAACAACAAAGTATCTGAACTGAGATTGAGCTACCACTCAAAGATACAGTTCATAGTTCTATTCTAAGATAATCATCTGCCAAACAAATTGACCACAATCAAAAACTATGGAAAACCTTCTCAAGAGAAAAAAAAATCAACTCTAAGAAGTATTCAAATAAGCCAACAAATGGCAGGAAAAGCAAAGAAAAGGGAAGACAAATTTAAAAAGAAATAATAAAACGGTAGCTGCAAAATCATCACCACCAATAATTACAGTCAGTGCTAGTGAACAAAAATTCCAATTAAATGGCATAAATTAACAAAATTTATTTAAGAAGTAAGATATAGCTATATGCTATCCAAAAGAGATGAATTTTGAATATAAGGTCACAGAGATTGAAAATACATGGATAAAAATGATCTACAGAGCTTGGGTTGTGGCTCAGCAGTAGAGTGCTCTTCTAGCACATGCAAGGCCCTGGGTTTGATCCTCAGGACCATATAAAAATAAATAAATAAAATAAAGGTATTGTGTACAACTACAACTAAAAAATAAATATTTAAAAAAATGATCTAGAGGGGCTGGGGTCATAGCTCAGTGGTAGAGCGCTTGGCTCGCACATGTGAGGCACTAGATTCTATCTTCAGCACCACATAAAAATAAATAAAATATTGTGTTCATCTACAATTAAAAAAATTTTTTTTAAATGATCTAGAGTAAAAGACAAAGAGTAAGTAGAAGAAGGCTGGAGTACTTAATATGAGACAAATAATTTTAAGACAAATATTACTACCAGAGAGAGATTCTTTATCATCATCTTTCATGAAAATAAAATGATCAATTTATCAAGACATAATAATATATGTATACATTAACAGTATGAACCTTGAAAATACAGAAGCAAGTCTGGAGTGGTGGTGCACACCTATAATCCATGCAACTCCGGAGGCTGAGGTAAGAGGATCACAAGTTCAAAGCCAGTCTCAGCAACTTAGTGAGGCCCTAAACAACTTAGTGAGACCCTGTCTCAAAATAAAAAATAAAAAGGGCCAGGCTCGGTGGCACACGCCTGTAATCCCAGTGGCTCAGGAAGCTGAGATAGGAGGATTGCAAGTTCAAAGCCAGCTTCAGCAACGGCAAGGCACTAGGAAACTCAGTGACACTCTATACGGCTGGGGATGCGGCCCAGTGGTCAAGTGCCCCTGAGTTCAATCCCTGGTAGTAATAATAATAATAATAATAAAATGAAAAATTAAAAAGGACTGGGGATGTGCTTCTGTTGTTAAATGCTCCTGGGTCCAATTCCTGGTACAAAAAAATAAGTAAGTGAATAAACAAATAAATGTAAACAAAAAACCCTATTTTAAAAAAGAAAATACATGAAGCAAAACTGACAGTATTGCTGTACATGGTTGGCATATCTGTAATCCCAGTAACTTGGAAGGCTGAGGCAAGAAGATCACAAGTTCAAGGACAGACTGGGTAATTTACTGAGACACTGTCTCAAAATAAAAAATAAAAAGGGCTGGGAATGCAGCTCAGTGGTAGGATGCCCAGTACCAGAAAAAAGTAAAATTAATAATATTAAGATGTTAAATAGAAAATTTCAAAATCTTAGTTGGAGACTTTAACTTTTTATTGCAGCAACTGACAGAATAACTAGGCAAATAAGTCAGCAAAGACAGAAGATATGAACATTAGCAATCATCTTAACTGATATCTGATATCTACAGGACTATATCTGACAACCATAAAATTTATATTCTTTTCAAGTACTATGGTAGACCCTCCAGTATAAACTATATGCTAGGCAATAAAACAAGCTTCAGTAAATTTAAAAGCACTCTTTATGATAGTTCATAAGGAAATTTTGATATTTCACAAAGGGTATGTTGTTTGAATGTAATGAAATCAAATTAGAAATCAGCAATAACAAAATAACTAAGAAAATACCAATATTTGGAGGTTAAACAGCATTTTTTTAAAAATACCAAGGATTGAACCCAGGGGATGCTTAATCACTAAGGCATGTCCCTAGCCCTTTTTTTTTTAATTTTGAGACAGGGCCCCACTAAGTTGCTGGGACTGGCTCTAAACTTGCAATCTTCCTGCCTGCCTCAGCCTCCTGAGCTGCTGCGATTATAGGCATGCACCACCATGCCCAGCTAAACAACAAATTTCTAAATAATCCATGGATCAAAAAGGTTCTTAGAATAAAAATCAGAAAATATTCTTAACTGAATTACAATGAAAATATTATGTTAAAACTTGTGGAATGGGTTGGAGACATAGCTATGTTGGTAAAGAATGCTTGCTTCACATGTACAAGACCCTGGGTTCAATCCCCAGCACCACACACACACACAAAAAAAATCTATTGGCCAAATTATATTGTTGTATTATGTGCTTGTATAATATGTAACAACAAATCCCATCATTACCTACAACAATATTCCAAAAAAAATTATGAAAAGAAAAAAATCTGGGAATAAATAAAAACAAAACATATGTAACCCTGAACTGTAAAAACTACACAATGAATAATAATAGAAGGCATAATAACATGTTCACAAATTGGAACACTCAAGAATGTTAAGATGGCAATTCTCTCCAAATTTATCTAAAATTTCAATACAATCATTTTAACTTCCCAGGATACTTTTTGAAGAAATTAAGTCTGCAACTTATATAGAAATGTGAAAACATAGAATACCAAATATAACTGAGAAAAAAAAATGAACAAGGTTACAATACCTGATGTTAGACTTTCTGTAAATCTGCAATAACTAAGGCATCATGGTTAGGGCATAAGAATAAATACATAGATCAATGGACTACAACAGAAAATTCAATAACAGCCTATAGGGTCAAATGACTGGATAGTCCCCAACTTACTTACAATGGTTTAACTTATGATTTTTCAACTTTCTAATGGTACAAAAGTGATATAAATTTGGTAGAAAACAAACTTGGAAATTTGAATTTTGATCTTGTCCCAGGCTTGCAGGAATGGGCTGGAGACATCTATGTGCACAAAACAAAGATCATGCAGTAGGATCATGCAGTAGGGTGCCATCTAATGAAGCTGAGCAGGGGCAGTACACCACAGTTCCTATCAGCACACAATCACAAGTGTCTAACCCTCTGCAGTGTGTTGTACAGTGTACAATACCTTATAGCATCCTAACAGTGTGGCTAGTGTTTTTTGATGTAGAAACTTAATAAATTACATTAGACAGTCAACATTCTATTATACAACAGGATTTAATGTTAGATAATTTTGTCCAACTTAGACCAATGTTTAAGTGTTAAGAGCACATTTAAGGGAGGGTAAGCTAATCTATGATATCTGGTAGATAGGTGTATTAAATACATTTTTGATTCATGCTGTTTTCAATCTAGGATGGGTTTATTGTGACATGGCCCTAGTGTAAGTCAAGAAGCATTTATGTGCCCAAAACAAAGATAACAAAGCAGAGCACAGTACACCCATAGTCCCAGCTACTTGAGAGTCTGACACGGATCACTTGAGCCCAGGAGTTTGAGAACAGCCTGGGCAACAAAATGAGAAAAAAAAGGAAAAAAAAAAAAAAGTAACAACTCAAGCCTTTCAGTATTCAAGAAAATATAGATAATTACAGTGATTTATTAAAAATATGAAATATCTCTGATTAAATAACATTCTGAAAACAAGTAGGTATGACAAAATAAAATTAATTAATTTTAAATTTAAGGAGAGAAACATGACCTCTGTACCCCATCCAAAACATCTGCCCAAAAAAGGACGTCAAACAATCCAAATAACTAGAAGGAATCCTAACAAGAGGGTGAGAGAAAAGATAAAATTCCAAACATACAGAAAAAGAATTAAACTTGGAAAGAGAAAGTATATTTCCAAAGCATTAAAAAGGAATCCAGTCACCAGCATACAAGCTAAATGAAGTCATTCATTCCACATTTTGCTAAAGTACAGATTATTTTACTAATACCTGTACTGAATCAATAAATATTACACTGAACTAAAAGATTTCACAAAAGATTCTGTGAAATTCAATAAACTTCTACCTTTGGCCATTTGGGATTGAGAAGCCGGGCTTTGATTGCATCATCCAGTGCCTTGTCATACTGCTGGATTTTCATGTAGGCTGCAGATCTATTGCTGTATAAAATGCAGTTCTGAGGGTCAACAGCCAGGGCTTCATTGTACAGGACAATAGCTGTGTGGAAATCGCCATCGTGACAAGCCTGGTTACTCTGACGAACTTTCTCAACAAATTCAGCTTTGCTCAGTACTGGTTCATCAGGACTTCTCCGGCCAATAGTCTTAGCACCAAAAAGAGAAATCTACAAAGAAATTGTCAAACACAGTTCAGATAATCCAGTCAGGTTCCTTGTTTGAACCTAAATAAAACAAGGATATTCTTCCCCATCTGCTTTACATTATATTTGACTTTTGTCCCCTGAAATATAGTAAACTTTCCATGAAGCAGCCAACACAGTGCCTTGAATACATAACATACATTTGTATAACAGTTATATACATTCATATTTGTATAAATATTTGTACAAATTTATTGACTGACAGGATGGAGGAATGAATGGGTGAATGAATGAATAAATAAATGCATGCAAAAAAAATACTGAAGTTTTCCTTAGCAATTTAAAGTTAACTAGGGAAAAACCAAAATAAAAACATACATAGACAACATGATTTCAACATGTTAAGATCGTTCTACTTCAAAAAATAATGAAAGCATAAAATCAAAATACTAACAATGCTAAGCTGTTACTTACTTGATGTAACATTATGGAGCATTTTTTACTTTTTTTTTTTTTAAAGAGAGAGAGAGTTTTTTTAATGTTTACTTTTTAGTTCTCGGGAGACACAACATCTTTGTTTGTATGTGGTGCTGAGGATCGAACCTGGGCTGCACGCATGCTAGGCAAGCACGCTACTGCTTGAACCACATCCCCAGCCCATTTTTTTTACTTTCTTAAATTTTCTTTCCTATCCAAATGTAAGCGACGAGTACACGCAAGTTTTAAAAAAATTAAAGTATCTTAATGTTCGATTCAATCTTTTTGGACTGGCAAATTTGGTAACTGAATTTGACTACTACCATGAAATTTCAACATCAGATTAGGGAGACCACACACAAAAAAATTCAGCTGTGAAGTATATCCTGCAATCTGAGATCTGTTTTTCAAAATCCCTAAATTTTCTGTGATTTGATAACAGTGACCTTAAAACCAAAGAGAGTGAATGAGTCAAGTTTTAATTCATTTTTAAAACTGCACTAAGTTTAAAGAGAAAAAATTTAACACAATAGTATCAGGAGAGATATTTCATAATTCTAAGCAAACCTAACCTAAGCAAAATTTTTTTTTAAAAAAGTATAATTTTCTACCCCATGTCTTCATTTAAGACCAAGTTCAATACTGTCCTTCAAAAGAGGATGAATCTGGGGCTGGGGGTTGTGGCTCAGTGGTGGAGCGCCTGCCTAGCACATGTGAGGCACGGGGTTCAATCCTCAGTACCAAACAATACATAAATAAAAGAAAGGTATTGTGTTCCTCTAAGTGTGTGATAGTGTGTGTGTGTAAATTTAAAAAGAGGATGAATCTGATTTGATGCAGTACGCCAATGTATACAACATAACTGATTCCTCACCAAAATGTCTATACTAAAAAGAACAATTTCCACAAAGACAGATCTAATCTACATTTGTGACCATTGTTCTTCTCTTCATAAGGATAGTATATCCTAGACTTTCAGTATAATTCAAAATGCTAAAATATTCTAGAAGTTTCAAATATCTGTGTTTAAGGTATATCCTTCAACTTCCTCACACTGGAAGTAGCTAATCAATGATGTATTATTAAAGGTTTTTTAAAAATAATGATCATGAAACATATGTTTGAAAGTGAATGAACTATGTATGTTTACTAAACAATCAGGATTTTCCTAAATAGTTTTGATTTTTAATTATTTTATCCCATCGTCAAATCAATGTACAAGACATTGAATACATGTAAGACTGATTTTACTTGGAAAATACAATCATCATGACTCTGCTTAACGCTAGAATTAGCCACAAGTTGTAGAAATAAATTCTATTTCTGGGTCTCTAAAAAATAACTAGCAAGAGGTCATGAAGATTTTCCTCTATGTTTTCTTCTAGGAGTTTTAGGGTTGAAAGCCTTAGTCTAAATCATCAATCATTTGAGTTGATTTTTTGTTTTGTGTTTATTTTGGTTTTGATACAGGGGATTGAACCCAGGGCTGCTTTATTACTGAGCTACATCCCCAGTCCTTTCAATTTTTTTATTTTTGATCTTGCTAAGTTGCTGAGGGCTCACCAAGTTACTGAGGCTGACCTTGATCTTGCCATCCTCCTGCCTCAGCCTCCCAAATCACTGGGATTATAGACAAATCCCTATATCCATCTTGAATTGATTTTTGTACATGGTGTAAGATAAGGATTCAATTTCTCTTTCTTCTTTCTTGCCTGTGGATATCCAGTTTTCCCAGCACCATTTATTGTAGACTATCCTTTCCCCATTGTGTATGAATGTAAAATAAATTGTTATAACTATGGTTTATATGAGCCTTATGATAATCACAAAGCAAAAACCTACAGTAGGTATACAAAAGTTAAAGGCATCAAAGCATATTAAAGAAAATCATCAAATCACAAAAGCAATAAAATAAATTTTTTAAAAAATCACAAAAGCAGATAGTGAGAGGAAGAAAAGAACAAAAGATCTAAAAAAGGGCAAGAAAACAACTAACAATACCAATTTCTTTACCTAACAATAATTATTTTTTATGTCAATGCATTAAATTTTCAAATCAAAACACAGAGTTGTTGAGCAAGTAAAAAGACCAAATCCAACTGTGGGCTGCCCACAAGAGACTCACTTCAGCTTTAAATACAGACTGAAAAGTAAAGGCAGAGAAAAAGATATTCCACACAAATGAAAAACAAAAGACAGCAGTGACTGCTATACAGACAGCAGCAATCATAGTTGTGGCTCAGTGGTAGAGCATTAGCCTAGCATGTGGGAGGCCCTGGGTTTGACCCTTGGCACCACATAAAAATAAATAAAATTAAGGTAACGTGTCCAACTACAACTAAAAAATAAATATTTTTTAAAAATTTTTAATTTAAGAAAAAAAAAAAAAAACAGGCCAGGTGCAGTGGTAGTCCTAGTTACTCAAGAGGCCAAGGCAGGAGCAGGAGGACAGCTTGAGCCCAAGAGTCTAGACCAGCCTAGCAGGGCCCTATCAAAAAACATTTTTTAAAGCCAGGTGCAGTGGCATACACCTGTGATCCCATTGACTTGTAAGGTTAAGGCAGGAAAATCTCAAGTTCAAGGCCAGCTTGAGGAACTTGGCAAGACCTTTAAAATAAAAAATAAAAGGGGCTGGGAATATAGCTCAGTGAAAGAGCAACCCTGGGTTCAATCCCCACAAGATAAAAAAGAGAGAAAGATGACATGTACAAATTTCACTAGAGAATTGACCACGGAATAAAGAATTCAATGTACCTTACTAAACTAAAATATATAATACCAGAAATTAAAAACTATATGAATAGATTTAGATTTAGCAAGATTTTATGCAACAGGATTAATAAAGTAGAAGACAAGTCCATAGAAAATACCCAAACTGAACCACAGAAAATAAAAAGAGAGTAAGATGAGCATATTAAAGACATAAGTAACATGCTCAAGAAAGAGGTGTAATACACACATGACTGAAATTCTGGAAAGAACGGAGAGACAAGGGAGTAGAACACTGTTTGAGTATCTTTTTTTAATGTTTTTATTAGTGCATATTAAGGTTATACATAATGGAGTTCATTTTGGCATAATACATGCATAAACTTTGAATAACTTGTGACCAAAAATTTTCTAAAACTGATGAAAGACAACAACTTTAAAGCAATATTGAACACATTGCTTTAAGAATTTCATCCAACCCCAAGATAACACAAAGAAAATCACCACTGCACATGTCATAGTCAAACTGCTAAAACACAAAAATAGAGAAAATATAAAAGCTGGGGGAGATGCATTTCCTTCAAAAAGCTATAAGCTGTGTACTCAACAGAAAAGATGAAAACTGAAACAGGACCTAACCTAAAATTCTATACCCAGAGAAAATATTTTTCAAAAATGAAGGTGAACTAGGGACACTTACACATCGTTGGTAGGATACACAATGGTGCAACTGCTGTGGAAACCACCTTGGCAAGTCCTCAAAAGATAAAAGTTATCTTATGACCCATTAAGTGTACTCCAGGACATCTACTGAAATGAACTGAAAATATAAAAACATAAAAACTAGTAGCCAGGTGCGGTGGCGCATGCTTATAATCCCAGCAGTTCGGGAAGCAGAAGCAGGAGAATTGCAAATTCAAAGATGGTCTCGGCAACTCAGCAACTCAGCGAAGACCTTGTCTCTAAATAAAATGTTTAAAAAGGGCTAGGGATGTGGCTCAGTGGTTAAATGCCCCTGGGTTCAATCCCTAGTACCAAAAAAAAAAAAAAAAAACTAGTACACAAATGTTGAGAGACATTACTTATAACAGTCAAAAAGTGAAAACAATCCAAATGTCCATCAACTGATGAATAAACAAAATGTGACAAAACCATACAATGGAATATTAAATCAACCACAAAAAATGAAATACCAATATATATTTCAACATGTAACCCTGTAAATGTCAATGTGAAGTGGAAGAAGCTCTAGACACAAAGTATGCAGGACTGCACATATTCTATGATTCTCTTTGTGTTAAATATTCATAATAAACAAACCCACAGAGACAGAAGGCAGATTAGTAGTTGCCAGGGGTTAGCAAAAGGGAGAAATGGGGGCCCTGGGATTGTAGCTCAATGGTGGAACGCTTGCCTAGCACACATGAGGCACTAGGTTCAATCCTCACCACCACATAAAAAATAAATAAAATAAAGATATTATGTCCACCTACAACTAAAAAAAAAATTTTTTTAAATATTTATTTTTTAGTTTTAGGGGGACACAACATCTTTATTTTATTTTATGTGGTGCTGAGAATCTAACCCAGTGCCTCACGCGTGCTAGGCAAGCGCGCCAACACTTGAGCCACATCCCAAGGCCCTAAAAAAAATTTTTTAAAAGGCAGGGGAGGAATGGGGAATGACTCCTAATGGCACAGAATTTCTTTTGAGAGTAAGCCAATGTTTTGGAATTAGATAATAGTGATTGCTGTATATCACTGTGACTACACTAAAAACCACTGAACTGTACACTTTAACATGGGTGCATTTTGTGATATGTAAAATATATCTCAATTTTAAAAATAAAAGTAAAACAAAATTTGATGAATCAAAAACGGGAATTAACAGCAGGCCTACATTAAAAGAAATATTAAGGGCTGGGGATGTGGCTCAAGTGGTAGCGCGCTGGCCTGGCATGCGTGCAGCCCGGGTTCGATCCTCAGCACCACATACAAACAAAAATGTTGTGTCCGCCGATAACTAAAAAATAAATATTAAAAGATTCTCTCTCTCTCTCTCATTCTCTCTTTTAAAAAAAAAGAAATATTAAAATAAACAATGAAAGAAAACTATCCCAGAGAGAAACATGGAAATGCAAGAGAGAATGATTAATACTAGAAAGAATAAATAAAAATGAATATCATATATGCAAAATAATAACTGTAATGTGAAGCTTAAAATATTTATAGCACAATAAGTAGGAGGTGGGAAATAGAGCTAAAGTTCTATATGGTTTCTCAAGCCTTAATATATACAATCCTCACTTGAGGATTGTGTTAAAAGGCAGATTCAGATTCAACACATTCATAGTGGGGCATGAGACTCTGCATTTCATAAAGTCTTGATGATGTAGATGGGCTAGACTATATGCCACATTTTATCAAGGTTCTAAGGTTCTACCAGACCCAAGTAAAGAGTAAAATTATTAATTTCATTAGACTATATTAAATCAAGGATTTGCGTTATAATATAATCAAGTCAAGGAAATTATGACTGAAAACATAATTAGCAAGTTAACAGAAAAATAATAAAATCATTTTAAAACTTGATTCATCTAAAAGAAAGTGAAATAGAAAAAAAGAAACATTTTTTAAAAGGGGTTTGCCCTGCAGTGCAACCTAGCCAACAGTGAAAGAAAGATAATAAGATAGGTGGAGGTAGGGAATGGGTCAAAAATGTTAAGAGATAAAACTTAAGGCCTTAGGTTAAGACCTAGAATATTCCAGAGCTAGAATACAATAAGATTATTTTTAAAAAATTTTACCCATATTTTATTTATTTATTTTTTTATGCGGTGCTGAGAATCTAACCCAGTGCCTCACACATGCTAGGCAAGCATTTGACCACTAAGCTACAACCCCAGCCCCACAATAAGATTATTTATATTCCAGGTAAGCTCCTAGGCACTACAGAATAAAAATCCAGAGAAAAAAACAAAATAGGTGGCTTGTTAAAAATCAATAAATAAAACATTGACTCCATCTGTGAAAATTAGGCTTTAGGCAGTTCTTTATGTCTTACAAAGCCCTGAGCTTCCATAGGGGAAGAAGTCTTCCTACACAGGCTGCACCTAATAAGACCAGTGATCAAAGACCAGATCAAAGAGTAACTAATCAGAAGGAAGTAAAGAAGTTGGCCATGCAGATAGAAATGAATTTAGGTATCTAAAGGTAGGGGGAAGGCAATAAGGACTAGCCATGTTGGAGAAAAGGCAGAAGTCAGTGTTAAGTGCAGAATAGAAAGTAAAAGTATGTAAGGTAAGAAAAGTAAATGGGATCCAAATTATTTACCAATATGGCAGCCACCAGGTATATGTGGCTCTTTAAATTTTTATTTTACCAAATTAAAATTAAAGAATCAGTTCCATAGATGTACTAGTCACACTGCAAGTGCACAATAGCCACTTGATAGCTAGTGGCTAACAAACTACAGTGCAGATGCAGAAATGACCATCTTCACAGGAAGTACTATTGGACAGAGCAGGTTTAGAGCTTTATAGGCTGTCAAAAAGAAACAGAGAAGCTACATCATCAGCCTAGACCAGAGGTCATCAGCTCTTACAAGGCCAAACCTTAAAGCAGAACTGCCACTTATCCCAGGACAACTAGGCAAGTACTTCTCTTAAATGATCTTAACAGGCATTCTTGAGAATAGAGGAAAGGCACCGGGGAAGGAAGAGAGGGTTGCTTTGCCTTAGCCTAAGCAACTCCATCTTAAAATAAACTGCAGTCTCACCCAGCAAGCCACAGAGCCCTCCGATATGTCAATCAGGCACAGCCCGATAAAAGCAAGTCACTTTCCACAACCCTAACAAGAGTCAGGGTGAAGTCACATGTCATTTGTCATAATCCTGATAAGAGATAGAGGGGTCTCAGGGCAGAAACCACCAGACCACGTGTCCTCTTTAAGATATAAGATGTCACTAAGAAACCTGGTAACAGCTGATAGGGACCCATAGATCGAGCAGAAGCTCCCAAAATTTAGTAAAAATAATGGAACAAATTAACAGACACTTAGCCAGCCAATACTAAGGCACACATGCTGGACAGCTTGATGAGGACCTGGACTGACATCCCAACACTCATCATCATCTGCCTGATCCTCTGTGTTGTCCTCACTGCTCTCAAACTCTATAACAGTCTCCTGACCCTGGTGAGAAATGCGACTTCTCCTTACAACCATCTCCTCAGCCAGCCATCAACTCCACACCAGGAGAAGCCTCCATGAGTTCTTGAGGATCCCTGCCATCTGAGTGAGTGCATCTGCTGGACTTAAGGCCTAAGACTTAAGTCTTTAAATCTAGCACTTAAGCTTTTATCAGCCTGAATTATTTTGTTTGTAGTGCCCAGCAGTAAGGATTGTCATTTTCTTGATTAAGAACCTATAGAGTAAAATTGTATTAAGTGATTTGAATGAATAAAACATTAAAAAAGGAATTAGCACATGGACATTCTTTATTTCTCCCCTCGACTGCATATGTTACACTAGTGCCTATCGCAAGAAGGAAATGGAAAATACTGGGGAGTGATATTAGCCAAATTATATTGTTATATTGTGTGCATGTACAAATATGTAACAACAAATCCCACCATTATACACAAGCCTAATGTACCAATTTTTTAAAAATGGGAAAAACATAGATTTTAAAAAATAGGCATCCTGGGCTGGGGTTGTGGCTCAGTGGCAGAGCATTCACCTAGCACGTGCGAGGCCCTGGATTTGATCTTCAGCACCACATAAAAATAAATAAATAAAATAAAGGTATTGTGTCAACTACAACTAAAAAATATTTTTTCTCTGTTAAAATTCTTTTTTTATTTATTTATTTTTAGTTGTACATGACAGCAGAATGTATTTTGACATATAATACATACATGGAATGTACATACATCAATCATATTGTCTATTCTATTCTGCTGCCCTTCCTATCCTCCTTACTCCTCCCCTCCTCTCCCATCCTTTCTCTCTATCCAATAAAATATGGAACGATTCACGAATTTGCGAGTCATTCTAGTGCAGGGCCATGCTAATCTTCTCTGTATGGTTCCAATTTTAGTATATGTGCTGCCTAAGTGATCACCTAAAAAATATTTTTAAAAATATAGGCATCCTTGGGGCTGGTGTTGTTGCACAATGGTAGAGCGCTTGCCTTGCATGTGTGAGGCACTGAGTTCAATTCTCAGAACCACATAAAAAAATAAATAAGTAAAATAAAGATATTGTGTTCGTCTACAACTAAGAAAAAATATTTTTAAAAAATTGGCATCCTTGAAAAGCTACTCCATGGTCAACTTGGAGGGAATTAATATAAATAATTTGAAATTCCTCACCCACACCTTTAAAAGTTTCATTTCTTAAGATACGAAAGCCTTAGCTGATTCCTGATCAATTCTTGCCAATACTTTATAATAATTTGGAGGAAGATAGATTTGGTTACTGCATGACTTCCTTAGAGCCTTTAATATGCTAATATATAGTGTGAGCCTCCAAAAATCAGATAGCATATACAATGTTTCCCATTAAGAATAATTATTGTGGGGGCTGGGGATGTGGCTCAAATGGTAGTGCACTCACCTGGCATGCGCGGGGCACTGGGTTTGATCCTCAGCACCACATAAAAATAAAGATGTTGTGTCCACCAAAAACTGAAAAATAAATGTTAAAAAAATCCTCTCTCTCTCTCTCTTAAAAAACAAAAAAGAATAATTATTGTGGGACTAGGGTTGCAGCTCAGTAGTAGAGTGCTTGCCAAGCATGTGTGAGGCACTGGATTCAATTCTCAGCATCGCATATAAATAAAGTCCATTGACAACTAAAAAAAAATTTTTTTTAAAAAGAATGATTATTGTTATAATCACTGAACAATTAGTATGTGCCTGTCACTATTCTAAGTACTTTTTAGATGTTCACTTGTTTATTATTCAAAATCTCTATGAAGCTATACTACTGCAAAGGAAGACAAAGGTTAAATAACAAAAAGGGAGGAAGTGAAAGTATCAAGGGAATTAACTGTAGGGCTATAATTCAAATCCAGCTTGTCTGGCTCTGAAGTCTCTACTCTTAACCATTTTATACCTCCTCTCAGAATTATTTGAAAACACAATATTTTATGTACTACTTGGATGCCTATTAAGATCTGATAAAACATTGTCCCTGTAGTTTGGGAAATGATGAAAGACTACTCAGGCCTATCTTTCTTACAGACTGAACAAGCTATGCTAAAACTATGTCTAAAACTACTTTTGCTCATTTAAAAACGTTCCAGTTCCAGCCAGGTGTGGTGGCACAGGACTACAATCCCAGAGACTTGCAAAGCTTTGGCAGGACGATCAGAAGTCTGAGGCCAGCCTCAGCAACTGAGCCAGGCTCTAAGCAACTTAGTAAGACCCTGTCTGGAATTTTTAAAAAGTAAATAAAAAGGGCTGAGGATGTAGCTCTATGGTAAAGCACCTCCTGGTTCAACTCCCAGTACAAAAAAAAAAAAATTCACTTCCCAGTTTATAGTTTTTATAACACTAAAATTGCATTTATTTGTTAATTCCCACAGTTTCAACCTGTCAATAACAGAACCTACACCACAAACATATACTCACAATCTAAAATAATTTGGAGATTTATCACAACAAAATTCTGATATTCATAACCTCTGCATCTCTACACTATTGACTTTACTTGATATGGTTATAAATAAATCATTACTATTTTATTTGGTGAATAGCCAGCTTCCTTCTTTTAAGTCCAATGGAGAAAACAGTTTGCTTCATTTACTTGTAATAACAGATATCCAAATATAGAAGGTCAAAAATAATTATTAAAAGTTTAAATTCAATCATTACAAATAAATGCAATTTAAACATGCAACTCATAGATATGAATACTTTATATCACATGCCATTCGATTTTTAAAAGCATTATCTTCAGCAATTGTGAAAAATAAAAATCCATGAGGGTATTACTGATTTCTGAACTTGGTACTTTCACCCCCTCCTTTGCTGATAGGGTTTGAGAGGGGAACCAGTGAATAAAATCTACTAAAGAACCCTGATCCTATTTTCATAATGATAAGATCATAACTCTCACACAATATCAAATGATCCCACATCAAAGACTTGAACTCATCAAAAACTTTCACTCCTTAATGAGTGACCCAGGAAAATACAACAGCCAGTTCAGAGGAGAACTCAAAGGACAACACATGTACAGACAATCAGGAATGCTGAAATTAATTTTTGGATATATGCAAAACTGGCCTTTTCAGGAGAGGAAGAAAATCAATTGCCCCTCTATATGGAAAGAATCATTTGCATGTCCAGGGACAAGAATCACTTGTATTACTATCCGTTATCTAGGAGCTTCCCTCAATAGTAACTTCTGGGAAATGAGGCTATCACAAATTCCCTTTTCGGGGCAAGTCTAACCCCAGGAAGAAAAATGAAAATAATCCTTCCATAAATACCCTTTTATTTCACGGTCCTAGATGAGATGGAGAGATCACTGGTACCTGTATAAACAAGAGATTTCCACAAACTTTCTTATTTCCCTTCAATTCTAAAAACTCATTTGTTTTGTCTAAAGAAACCTATTTCTTCTCACAGAAACTGTATCTCCCTATTCTTTTTTGCCTACTAGTTAGGGATATAAGGCTTTAACTTTATGCATTTAATAAATCAGCTACTTCTTCTGTCAGCTCCCATGTGCATACTATAAACCTTTTTTCTCTGTTAATGTCTCATCAGCTTAATTTGCAGACCCCCTTCACTTAATTAAAAGGGTAGAAGTTCTACATCCCCTAAAACACCATATTAATTATTCTGCCTTAAGATACTGTTCACTGCTTTCACATCTTTTGTTTGCCTCTATAGCTTCTGTGGTTTAGAACTGTTGTGTGCTAAACTTCTGTCCTTGTAAAGTCACCTATTTACAGTAAAAAGAAGATTGATCTACTGATAGATGGATAGATTGATAGACAGACATAGAGATATACACATACACACCAGTCATTCTCCCTTCCTTCACTGTCCAGTGTTTTCTCAGGATATCCTTTAGGGATTTTTTTTTTTTTTGAGACAGGTCTCACTTTGTTTACTCAGGTTGGTTTCTAACTCCTAGGCTCAAGTGATCCTCCAACCTCAGTCTCCTGAATAGCTGGGATTATAGACATTCTTAGTATATCCTTAAAAAAAAAAAGAAGTTATCACAAATTTGTCACTTTATCCATCTGCAGTGACAGCAAATCCTTCTTACCAGAAGTGGGAAATGTTTCCTCACTAAGCTACTTAATTTTTTTTTTTAAAGAGAGAGTGAGAGAGGAGAGAGAGAGAGAATTTTAATATTTATTTTTTAGTTATCGGCAGATACAACATCTTTGGTTTTTTTTTTTTTTAAGAGTGAGAGAGAGTGAGAAAGAGGGAGAGAGAGAGAACTTTAATATTTATTTTTCAGTATTTGGTGGACACAGCATCTTTGTCTATATGTGGTGCTGAGGATCGAACCCGGGCTGCACGCATGCCAGGCGAGCACGCTACCACTTGAGCCACATCCCCAGCCCGACTAAGCTATTTAAATACCCCAAGTTCTCTCAAATGTTCATCCCTTGATCCAGCCATGTTTTAAGATGCTCTGTAGTTAACTAATACGTTCCTCTAAAAATATGATTTCCAAAAGTAGACTCAAACTCAGAATTGAGAAGCAACAGCTATCAGCTTTCTATATTTTAATACTCTATATTCATTAATGAATACTATGGCTATATTCATCAGTGATTAAATATAGTTAGTTCTTGTTACAGTTACAACCTCTTTTCCCACAAATTACTGATAAGTAAACTTGTTCACAAATATTAGAACCCAAATGCAGAACCTCATTTATGATTGATGAATTTTGCCTTGATTTGTCAATATATTTTTTTAAGAGAGAGAGAGAGAATTTTAATATTTATTTTTTAGTTTTTTGGCAGACACAACATCTTTATTTGTATGTGGTGCTGAGGATCGAACCCAGGCCACACGCATGCCAGGCGAGCACGCTACTGCTTGAGCCACATCCCCAGCCCATTGATTTGTCAATATATTCAACTACAAAGCACATACTTCTGTACCAGACATTTAATAGAGACTGGATGTAAGTGGGTGTGATGGTACATACCTGTAATCCCAGCATCTCAGGAGGCTGAGACAAGAGCATCACAAGTTCAAAGCCAGCCTCAGCAACTTAGCGAGGCCCTAAGCAAATTAGCAAGATCCTGTCTCAAAACAAAAATAAAAGGGCTGGAGATATAGCTCAGTGGTAAAACACCCTAGATTCAATCCTGGTACCAAGGGGAAAAAAAAAAAGACTGGACATAAAAAAAGAAAATAGACATGGTTCCTGTCTTCCAGATCATAGAATATTTTGGTGGTTTCATCATATCATTCTATTATGTCAGTACTACTTTGAATCTTAATTCTTTCGGTGTAATATCTATCTCATATTTGTGAAAACTATAAATTCAACAAACATGCCTTCATCCAGGAAACAGTATACTATTACATAAGATTAGATTTTTTAAAAATAGAGTCCTGCATCTTGGTGCAGACTTCCTATAAGTTTCTATCACATATCATAATTTATGTTTATGTAATTCAGCTTTACTATCATTAAATCCAAAAGATTCATATTTTCCATAAGATTATCATGAGATAATATATCAAATTACTTAGAAAAAATAAGCTATCATCTTAGAATTACTCCTTAAAAAAAAAAAAAGTAATCACAAGTATTTAAGTGAACCCACATGGACTCCTACTTGTTACCACCTCTATCAGCCAGAATTCAGTCAGAGGACAGAAACCACACCAGTTATTTGAACAAAGAGAATTTAATACAAGATTTTGTTAACTGAATTTCAAGTTTTTCAGTACACGGCTAAAGGGACAAAAAAAAAAAAAAAAAAAAGAACTCTTAGCAATCATAGTCTTGACAACTGCAGGAAGCAACTACTACCCCTAGCGCAGGGCTAACAAATGCTTAGAGGAAGAACTCAGGAACTCAAACTCAGACTTCTGGGAAGGCACTGCTCAGCTGGTGCTGATGTCTCAGATTTCCAAGTAGAGGACCATTGTGCCTGTGACCCAGGCCTCTAAAGAGCGGTGCTGGCTGGCGCTAGTGGTCTCTGAAGAAAGCTTGATGAAACTGGTCCTTGGAAAAACTGCAAACTGGATCCAGCAACTGCTACAGGAAGGTACTGCTGCTGCAGGGATGAAGAAGTGTTGTTAGGGCAGCAGTCACAGGAATGGCAAGCAGAGCAGAAAAAGCAAGTCCCTCCCTCTTCTTCTAGGCAGTCAATGCCCTTGTTCGCAACAGGGAGCATGTGGCCAAGCAGAAATGTGACTTGTGGAGTCTGGGCCTCAGGATCACAAGGCAGAATAAATAAATGGATTTGGAGTTAAAAGAACAATAATTTAACTAGCAAAACATTTTCTGTTCTAAGGTCACACAACTGTTTAAAATCTAACACTCTGTATAAAGGATCACAATCAATGACATCAATCCCTATCTAACATTTAATCACCTCCTCCTACTCTGAAGAGTAAAACAACCACCACATCTAACACTTGCTTAGTAATTACTTCATGCCTGGAACTGTTCAAAACAGTATACATGTATGAATTGATCCAATCCTCACAGAAACCCGGTAAAGTAGGCCATAGCAATATTTCCATTTTATAGACAGCAATAAGGTGAAGAAAAGTTAAATACCTTATCCAATATCTCAAAGTTGTGAAAGATTTCAGACTAAACCCAGGCAATCACACTCGAGTCCCCATGCTTAGGATCACGACATGTGTTACAATGCCACAATAGGCAATGCTCTCTAAATCTAAAGAAGCCTTTGAAATGCAACTTCTGTTGAACAAAATTTTCTTATATGCTTTTAAAAGTTCATATCTGATGAGGTGCAGTGACACCTGCCTGTAATTCCAGCAATTTGGGAGACGGAGACAGGAAGATTGCAAGTTTGAATACAGCCTCAGCAAGTTGGCAAGAATCAAAAAAATTTTTTTTTAATTTTAAGAAAATGATGGGGGTGTAGCTGAGTGATAGAGAAACACTGACTTCAATTTTCAGTATGAAAAAAAGTTACATCTGTATTTGTAACCCTATGGAATATCATATTGTCACACATAGACATTTTTCAACACTTTGCAAAGAATCTGCAATATACTTCTCATGCCCTAAACAATAAAGGAGAAAATGAACAGACTAAAGGCAATGAAATAATCTTCCACTTGCAAAATTAAACTACTACCTTCACTACTATCTCACTCAGAAATCAGAAGTAAATCTATTCATGGTAGATGTACGTAGTTTATTTTGAAAAACTATTATTTCTATTGACTGAAGCTCAAAAACATGCTGGGTTGAGAATATAAAACTAAAAATGGCTAGGTATGGGGGAAAAGAAAGAAGCAGCAGCTAGGTATGGTGGTGTATGCCTATAGTCCCAACTGCTGGGGAGGCTGCACAGGGGGATCACTGAAGCCCAGAAGTTTGTGGCCAGTCTGAGCAAAATAATGACACCCTGTGTCTTAAAAAAATAAACTGGGGGCTAGGCTTGTGGCTCAGCAGTAGAGTGCTCACCTAGCACATGAAAGGTGCTGGGTTTGATCCTTAGCACCATATAAAAATAAATAAAATAAAGGTATTGTGTCCAACTACAACTAAAAAAATATTTTTAAAAATAAATAAATAAATAAACTGGGCATGGTGGCACACACCTATAATGCCAGCAACCCAGAAGGCTGAGGCAGGAGGATCACAAGTTCAAGGTTAGCCTCACCAATTTAGCAAGACTCTAGGCAATTTATCAAGACCCTCAACAACTCAGCTGGAGATGTAGTCCAGTTGTAAGCACCCCTGGGTTCAATCCCAGTTCCTAAAAGGATTTTAAAAAGTTTTTTAAATAATTTTAAATAAATAAATATATTAACCAGGTGTGGTGGCACAAGCCTATAATTCCCAGCTACTCAGGAGGCTGAGGCAGAAGGATTGCAAGCCACAAGCCAGCCCTGGCAATTTAATAAGACCCTGTCTCAACTATAAAAATGTGTCTGGAGGCCATTTATTGCCTAGCATACATGAAGCCCTGGATTCAATACCAAGAACTAAAAAAAAAAAAAGGAAGGCTGAGGATATAGTGGTAGAGTACTTGCAAGAAGTGTTGGGTTCAATACCCAGTACTGAAAAAAAAATTTTTTTATTTAATAGTCCATGAGGACTGTGGATATGGCTCAATGGTAGAATGCTTGCTTAGTATGTATAAGGCTCTGAGTTTGATCCCCATCACTGCAAAAACAACAATAATAAGAAACAGTATCAATACCCATTCTTTTTTAAATTTTATCTTTTAATTTGTTTAAAATACTCTTTTTATACTATTATTTTTTTTACTTTGTTGGACACAATACCTTTATTTTTTTTTATTTGTTTTTATGTGGTGCTGAGGATCAAACCCAGGGACTCGTGTGAGCTACGCTCTACCGCTGAGCCCTCAGGATCAAGAGTATTTGAAACAACCCCAGCCCCCTGTTTCAAATACTCTTGAATCATCCTAGATTGAAATTCTAGAATACCATACCAACCTAACCTTAAAACTCACAAAAACTAGGTATTAACAAAATCCCCACGGGAACTGGCTGTGTCATTTTCCATCAGTAGGCATTTATAATTGATCACTATTGTTGGTGATCATACAAATCAAAGACTATCTAGTGCAATGGTTAAGAGCACAGATTCCAGAGTCAGACTGCCAAATCAAGATCCGGAGCAACTCATCTTCTTAGCTGAGTGATATTGAGCAAGTTAACTTTTCTGTAGCTCAGTTTCCTTTTGTGTGTAAAAAGGGGATAATAATAGTATTTACTTCATAAGGTTGTTGTGAGGATTAAATTAGTTGATAATACGAAGTACCAACAGAGCCTGACAGAGTATGTTAACTAATGAAAGTAAGCTGTTCTACACAATACTTTATAATTTACATGTTCTTCCAAATATGTCTAATAAAAATTTTCATTTTTCATAAAATATTTAGAATTTGTAGTTAATATATGGAAAAGTTTGTTGTTGTTGTTGTTATTTGGTACTGGGAATTTAACCAAGGGGCAATTTACCATGGATGGAGCCACATCCCTAGTCCTTTTTATTTTTTATTTTGAGACAGGGTCTCACTAAGTTGCTTAGGGCCTCACTACTAAGTTACTGAGGCTAGTCTTGAACTTGCAATCCTCCTGTTTCAGCCTCCTGAGCTGCTGAGATCACAGATTTGCACCACCATGCTCAGCTCTGGAACATGTTTAAATGATTTTCATAAATCTCTATGGAAATTGGAAACAATGAATTTAACAAGAACATTATTTGGCAGTGGAGCAACAATCAAAAATTCAGTTTCTACATAAGCTAAAACCACATGGATCTAAGACAAAAGCCAATGCAAAAACATACATACTGAGTGGAAGTAACTATGGCTGTGTTTTTAGTGCCTTCTCAGCAAACTGTTCAACCTTCTGCAACATAATTTTCCTCATGATAAGAAACTACACACAAGATCAAATGTCTAACACAAGTGCCTGAATTCACACTGGTAACATGAAAATTCCTGAAGTAAAAGAAAAGTATACCTAGATGTTTGACCGGTTAATTCCAAAATATAAGTTACAATTCCACCTAAGTGCTTGGTCTTATTAAATAAATACTCTCTAATATCACACTACATTAATTTAAAAAATCAGAAAACTCAGCTCCTACAGAGGGAAAGTCACAGGGAAAGCCTTGTGAAATTGACAGTTTCCTCTGTTCTACAAGTATGTACAATAATCTCATAAGTATAAGAGTTAACATGCTTGTACAAAAAAATGTTCATTTATAGGCCTGTTGCAAGGAAAGCTCAGATATCCTAATGTGTTCACATGACATTTTTTTCAAATTCACAGAAAACTTATCTATTTTAATATCAGGTATTTTCTAAATAAATGGTGGATATTTATTTGTTTTCTAGAGACAAATCTTTATTCCACTATTTCTTAAATACACTGTGCCCATTTATTGGCAAAATGTTAATAATTTTATCAAACTGAAGTGATGAGAAAATATAAAGGTTTATTATTGGATTTACTCTTATTTTTCCATGTGCTTGAAATTTTTTATATGTATATACTCTATTTTAACTATCACAGTTGAATTTAGTTTTTCACTTCATAATACAGCCATAGATAACAGGATCAAGAAATTGTTCATTTTATCACTTATTAATGAAAACAAAACTGAAGAGGTTAAGGCAAACAAAGATTTTATGAGAATACCTTTCATGATGTTTTAAGAATAAGACGTATTCCTTTCATTTTCTAATTCTTTTTATACTGACATATTACAACTACTGACATATTTCACACATCATAAAATTCACCCATTTAACCTGGTCAGTTCAGTGTTTTTTGTTGTTCTGTAACCAGTGTCACAATCTACTTTTAGAATACATTTATCATCCCATGCAAGTTAGCTGTACTCCCAGCCAACTTAAGGCAAACACTGATCCACTCTCTGTATGGAGCATACAGGCATATGTATAGGCATATGCTGAATTATCTCACACAAACACAATATGTGATCTTTTGTGATTGTTTTTTTTTTTGACTCAGAATGGTTACAAAGTTCACCTTTGATGTGTCATGTCTCAATCAGTACTTCTTCCTTTTATAGCAAAAATAATATTTCACTATTTAGGTATGCTACATTTTGTTTATTCACTAACAGTTGATTGATACACTGTGGGCTGCTTCCATATGGGGGCTATTATGAATAACAAAGCAATGAACATTCAGGTACAAGTGTTTGTGTGAACAAATATCTTCATTACCCTCAGATACATACCTAAGATTAAGAATTAATTAATTGGGCTGGGGCTGAGGCTCAGTGGCAGAACGCATGTCCAGCATGCGTGAGGCACTGGATTGGATCCTCAGCACCACACACAAAAAAATAAAATAAAGGCATTCTGTCCATCTACAACTACAAAAAACTATCAAAACAAGAATTAATTAAGATTAGAATTACTGGGTCACATGGTAAGTTCATGCTTAACATTTTGAGCAACCCTCAAATTGTTTTCCAAAGTAGCTGCATCATTTCTCATTCCAGCAATGTATAAGGGGGTCCAATTTCTCCACATCCTCACCAACACTTGCTACTGCCTTT